GCATCATCATCAGCAATTCTAGAAGTTAATTCCTTCCAAAAGATATGTGGCAAATAATATTTTGCACAAGCTTCCGGAATCAAGATTAATGAGAATCAGTTCGTATTTCGTGATTTTTTAATTTATTGGTTTTTAATTAGAATCTGTTGATTAGAAAAAAAAATGGTCACATTTCATTATATTCACAAAATACAAGTAAAAACTTCAAAATATTCTTATCTAAGATTTCGTAGCGGTGAAATTCCTAATTACATTAAGCTCCATCCTTAATGCATTTAATTCTTTCTATATAATAGTTTTCGTACGCACTAATCTGTTTTAAAGTGTTTCTTAACGCTAGCCAAATATATATACAAAACAATTTGTAACAAATTATGTCGAAATTTAATTTCAACAACCTATTATTAATACAGAACAGATCGACATTAAGATATATAAAGGTAGAATATTTTTTGTAACCTAACTGCGAATGTAAATATGTATTTGAGCATCCGTACATACGATTCTGACTGATCTACAGTAGATTAAGGTATTAGTCTTAAAATCAAATTGCATGTTAGATCAAAGAAGTAAACACGCAGCGCGTTCGAATTCAATTTGCGTCTTATAAGGAAATCTTGTTCAAATATATCAAAAAAAAACACGCACTAGTGAAAAAACTAGATGGTATTGGGCGTCGCTTTCACATAAAGCATTATGATGACCAGGGCTGAAAATTATATTTGATTAGGTACAAAATATTAATAGAAAATTTGTTACAATGATAGAAACAAGGAGACAGAAATATCATTTGTTCAGACTAAATTATTTGTTCTCTGACAATGAATATAGAGTATACTAAAAGACTAAGACTGAAAGACTCTGTATAGACTACTTATTTGTGTCATCTTGAAAAACATATAATTTATAAGAGTATCATCATATACTCAACCTAAACCTGCGTAAAATTAAAAAAAGCAATTGCCAATATAATAATTAATTAATTCTCTTAGTTTGGTTCACAAATAATTTGAATGATTCTAATGTCATCGACTTATTATGCTTGCGTGAATGTTTCAAAATTCACTAATAAATATTTACGATTAAAGAAAACTCTTCCACTAAAAGTTTTTAATATTTGTTTTAATTATTTTGTCTAAAACAAAAACAAGAACAAGAATAAAATTCATTCGAAAAAATCAATTCAGTTCAAAATCCAATTAATTATCCCTTGGTCGGACACTAAACTAAAAGCTAATAACTTAAACGTGCTCCTTGTGATATTATTTTTAACAACAATAAATACAAAATTAAATATATTACCTTTAAAGCAAAAATACAAAGTAATAATAAATACAAAAATAAAGATATTTAAAATTATATTGCATCATAAGAAAAATTCATCAATAAACAACCGGGATCAACTTACATTTGTTTGAATTTATTCAACAATAAAAAAAACTATGTCTCTTCCAGTGACACAGCCCTGGTAATTTCAAACTAGTTTTTCAATTTAATGACATTACATTACCATGCATATAATTTATAGAATATATAGTATGGTACACGGGCAAGGTACAGCGCATCGTGATTTGATAATAACAATAATAATAATAATAAGGTTTTTTCCTGCCGCAGGAATGCCATCGTTAAATTAAATGCGCAATGTATGTGTGAAAACATTACCGAATGCACATTAAGAAATGACCGTACGAACCTTGCGGCACGAGACCACCAGGTTCGATGCTTCTTGTAGGCCCAATCAAAACTTGAGAATAATCACGAATGAACACTGAGAATAAATTTTGAGTATTATTTGTACATTAACTGATAAAATAATAATAGGTTTTCTGGTCGAAAGAAAGTTCAGAAGTTGTAGTTTCAAAGTCTAATATAAAATGACGTTTGAGGAGTTGGTAACCATAGTGGACCATCCCACAAATCGGGGCAAACTGAGATACAGTCAAGATATGATAAGTTTTTCATTACATAATGTTTCCAAACTGGAAAAAACATAAATTTATATCTGTCGTTAAATGGCAGCAAAAAATCTGCTCTGTCTCTGAAATTGTTTCACGTTTTACGAAAACCCAGAGTGGACTGTGGGCTTTCTTCTATTTCATTTATATAATAAAAAAATCCAGTCTAATAGTGTAAAGATAAATGGTATGTAGTAAGTAAAGTAATTAGAGATAATATAAAAACATTTAAAAAAATAGCAATTTTTCTACACGGTTCAACGGCGTTCGGAGATTTAGGATGGTCCACTCTGGCTACCAACTCTTCATTTGTTTTTCTTTTTAATATATCCATTCATCTTCTCTTTATTTCAAAGATACTGTTTGCTCAATCCTTTTATTTAAATCATCAATTTTATCTTGTGTGACTTTACATTTCAATAACCCTTCAAGAATTTATTGCTGTGCTGTAATTAACTCCACCCCTATTTTACAATGAATTTCAAATATTTTGTACCATTCTCATGTATCGTTTCAAATCTCTGGAATGTTATAGACATAAATGTACATATATATTTTCACGTATTATTAAAACAAATCCTATACCTATTAAATTTCCAGTTGAGATAAAAATATAGCCAACGGCAATCTATATATATCCTAATAAATTGTCTGTATGACCTCCTTCAATAAAGAATTGAATACATACACTAAGTAACTGAATCAGCAAGTTTTCATAAAATTGAATAGATTTCTGTAAATATAATATAAGAATTCTAAATAGTAGTTTTCTAGTTAACCTCATAACCCAACAATAAAATTGCGTGTAACATTAATGCACGGATATAGGTTATATGTAGAAGAAAATAAATTAACGTGAAATGGTCACTGAAAAGTTGATTTTCTCGAGTTTCTTGTTTGATGGAAAAGAATGCGCAATGCAAATGTAAACTAGAAAGTGGTAGTGTAAACAGAACATTCCTGAATTTGTGACTTCCACCGTTAGTTTATAATTATTGGAATTAATACAAATATAACCCATAGTGTTGTTTAATTTATTCTATTATTAAAGTAACTAATGCAAAAGTAAATATAAATATATGGCATCGTTTATCAAGTTTTAACTTCGATGCATGCCAATGAATATCAATATTTGCTTAAGTAATTGATAATATTATTGAAGTAAATTACTGTCTTATGTTTCGAGAGTGAAATTATCAATTATTTCAATTGATGTTTGATCGGCCTTATTAAAAATAAAATATTCATATATTTTTACATACATCAAATATTTCTTCACCATACTAATTTTAGATTTAGAACCATAGATGTATTAAACACCACATCTATTAAATAAACAAATGAACGGAAAATAAAACCAAAGAATTATCTACATAAGAAAATGAAGTATACAGAAAAGCAACAATATATAAAAGAACAGCTGACATTAAGGTTGCTAATTTCTGAAAATAACCATATTTGGTTTTCCAGACAATATATGATTAATTTCATAATTTTTTACGTATAAGCTAACCATGGTTACAAAGTACCTAGTGAAGATTTCCATCAGCAGACTGTATATCATTATATTATCTCATTTAACAATTTTTGCCATAAAACACAACTGTAAACAACGCACGTATCATAAGTTCGAAATATTTTCTGCCGTTTGTGGGCGTCTTCTATACTAAAATTCCTTATCAGACAGTACAATTTTACGCATTCCGACTAAAATTCAATATTGTTATTTTCAATGCAGAATTTAACATGCGTGCGCCATAAAACCAGACGCTGGCTCTGGAACAACTAATATTTAACTTCACACTATCCGTCCATCCGCAAGTTACGTTACCAAGGCAAATAATCGCCTTCGGGATGTTCCAAGTGCAAATCGAGTTCTTCTGCCTTATCATTTTGTACATTCGACAAATGGCTCACGGTCTTAATAAGTATAAACACAACACATTTCTGAGGAATTGAATTACGAATAGCTGCCTGTTGCTTAATTCATACAATAAATAAACCACCATGAAAACCACTAGATGACGACTTGGAGAAAAACTAGTTGAGCGCATGACATCGTACCTTAAGGCAAATTGCTGGAACTTCCCGTACTAAAATTTTTTTTTTTTAAAAGATTAACATTTTTGAAAAAAAAATACTCTGAAAAAATTAGATTTTTGAGAAACTATAAATTTTTGACATAAATTTACTTGTTTTGAAAAAAAAAGACTTTTAGAAGAAAAATTTATTTTGAAATATTTTGGAAATTCTGAACTTTTTTTCAAAGCAATCGTACTGATTTAACTGCATATAGACGAAATATCAAAGCGCGTAACCGCCGCGCCGCCGTCTTACGGATAAACATTGGTACGGAACCCATAGGAATGTAAGCAAAATTTATACTTATTGTTAAAATCTCTATAAAATATCTGATAATTTAATGTGCATATGTCTAATGATCATTTTTGACCGCCAAATGGCATTTTTTTTCCTTTTTAACTAGATCTCGGAAACCGCTAAACCTGCCTTCATGAAAATTTGATCAGTTCTTCATCTTGTTAATACAAGTAAAATGTTTTTTGAATTATTCAAATCGGACGCTCCGTTCCCTTAAAAACTGAGTTACCGTTTTTAGCACTTTTTGCCCCATATCTTCGGAACGGCTAAACCTGTCTTCGCCAAAAACTAATCAGCACCTCTCCTTATCAATACAAATCGAATGTTTTTTAAATTATTCAAATCGCTTCATCCGTGTTCCCGAAATCGTCGACGAAAATTTGTATCCGCACACACATACAAACACGCACACACACACACAAACATACATCGATTTTTTCTAATAACAAGGTATGCCAAAATATTCATAAATCAAACACACGCACACATAAACACACACACATACACATATACATCCATTATTTTTAAGGTATGCCAAAATATTCATAAACCTCTGAAACGTAAAGATATATAAAAAAAATTATTTTCGATTTTTTTGCGATTACTATAACTTGCCCTACGGAAAGTTAATAAAATTTTTTTATATATTTTTTTTATTTTCAGGTGCTCTATCGAAATCCCAATTCCCAGTTTTCACGATTTATGCCCAAAAATCGTGTTTGAGTGTCCGTCCGTGTTCGCGGGCATGGTGCTTCGACAGGGTGCGAGGACATGGACTTGTAGATCATAGCAAACGTTCCCAACATGCGTCCAGCAGACAGGAGTGCCTTGAAATATGCCTTGGCGAAACTGACTTTGTATGCAGGTAAGAAATAATTTCGTTTAGAACAAGGCAAATCAAGTTGTAAACACATTGTTAATATTCAGTCGCAATTAGTTTTTAAAAAATGTACTTTTTTCTTTTCACTGCAACCCCTATCTTTGAGTCAATACACGGGACATCAAAATTCATTTCAGAGCTATGATTTCAAGTATCTTATTTAGATCCCTGGAATCCGAAAATCATATGTGCCTAAATGACTAGAATCAACGCGCCCTAATCTTCATATTTTTGACGATCAAAATAGCTTACAAATGTCTTATTGATCGATTCGTTTCTTTATTTTAAACTAAATCTTCATAATCATTTCACAAAATTATGCAGAAAAATAATACTAATATATCTAATTAAATAATGAATTATTCCACACGTTGCAAGTGCTTGCTCGGGAGATTTGTTGCGTTAATGATGATTGCACACATAGAATCACTGTTGGTGTTCGTAAATCAACTATGTACATTCTTTTTTTGTTGATAAAACTTGTTGCGCTTATAGCGATTATTAGCACGCGGCCTCAAATGTATTCGATTATTAAGAACAGTTGTCGGATAAACTAAATGAAAATTTGTAATAATTTTATTTTTAACTAATGGTGCATGACATCGTGCCTTAAGGCAAATGGCAGAAACCTCCCGTAACTAAAACTAAACTTTGAAAAAAAAACTTTGCAAAACTTAGAAATTAGATTTTTAAGAAAAAAATGACTTTTGTGCACTTTTTGCCCCGTAAACCTAAAACCTAAATTCCATTTTTGGCACTTTTTGCCCCGTATCTTCGAAACGGCTAGCCCTGCCTTTGCCGAAAACTAATCAGCACGTATTCTTATCAGTAGGACTCGAATGTTTTTTGAGTTATTCAAATCGGTTGATTTGCGTTCGCGAAATCGTCGACGATAATTTGTATCCGCAAACGCACACGCACACGCACACATACACATCATTTTTTTTCTAAGCCTTTCATATGCCAAAATGTTCAGAAATGTAAAGATATATAAAAAATTTCATTTTGGATATTTTTGCGACTTCTATAACTTACCCTACGGGAAGTTTATAAATAATACAAATAGAAAGAGAGCGATCCGAGATCATATTATATTTAACTCAAATCTCATTAAATACTAGATGGTTTACAAGTCAATTAGAATAAGAAATGCCTAGCTAATACCAATAGTACTTAACAATACATCATAAACTATATTAAATATTAGTCCCGGCAAATCCCCGCGTCATAATCCATTATGATTAGAATATCAAAAATAACAAATGGTCTTCACCACTTCTATTCGGTCAATTGTTCAATTCGTAATCCCAATAATCCATAATAAAACATGTATCAACTATATCCTAACTCCATACTTTACTAACATATAAGGCACACAAATATCGATTCGAATTCTCTAAACACGCCATTGTTTTCAATAGCACTATATCAATTTAATGAATCACTATTGTTACGTTCTGCGGTAAAGCATTAATGAATGACTTCTCAATAAAAGCAATTAACCAGACACACGAAATAACGATCGTTATCTGAATTAATCCGAACGTTGCTGTCAAAATTCGTGATATTTCACTTTTGTTCTGCGGTAACGCCAATTAGGTTCAAAAATTTGCGAATCCATGCCGTACTATTAATTTAAAAAATGCCGTTCGGCACATTTTTTGTGAATGAAACACTTCGCTAATTTAGTGAAGGGTAAAGATAACGGAGTATAAACAAAGATATAGAAGATAAGAAAATTTATATGAGGAATTTTTAATATTTTTCGCAAAATATTACATATATAAATATTACATATATACTTTGAATAATTGATCAAGCAAAAAAAAATCATCAGCTAAGTCAGTAACGTCTAATTGATGAATGATATATTATTGCTAATAATTTCTTTATATAATTATTAAATAAACACAATGAAATGTACAAAAACTTTAATTTGAAATATTATATTGTACTCGTTCATTTTCCGTCTAAATACCACCATTCCTGTTACAACCTTAAAATATAGTGAACTTCAATGCTACTGAACAGTATTCGCAATTATTTTCTTCGATAACAACTTTTCAACTAAAGTGATAATATATTCATAGAATTTAAAACTGGCTATTGAGGTATGGTAACTAACCTAATGGTCCATTAAACTATATAATATTATTTATATCTTATGAAACAGCATAAACTGTGCCGGAATGCACAAATGCCGTTGCGCTTTCGATCAATTAAAAGTTACTAGAAACAATTTATATATATTATATATACGAGGTCTGTTCAAAAAGTACCCGGAATTTTCGTTTTTTCAAAAAAATATTTATTTATTCGTCTACATTAATGTGGTCCCCTTCAAAGTAGTCCCCCCCAGATATAATACACTTATGCCAGCGTTTTTTCCAATTTTCGAAGCACCCTTGATATTCACTTTTTGATATGTCCTTGAGCACACTCAGCGATTTTCTTCAATCGAGGAAAACCGCCGTCCTTTCATGGGTCTCTTCAACTTTGGGAATAGGAAAAAGTCACACGGAGCCATATCTGGTAAATTTTTGCACTTTGCAACACTTTATTTCATTTTTTACGCAAAATTTAATACAAATTCTTTGACTTTTCAATTCTTCCATTGTAAAAATCGCCGAGCTCAGAAAAACACGTCGAACCTTAGCGACTACCACAGACAAAGTAAACAGTGAATATAGCTGAAAATTTCATCATACTTTAGGAGCATGTATACCAACACAATAAAAAAAAAATTTTGACAATCAGACACTCCAGACCCGCGAAATTTAATTATTAGTAATTCCGGGTACTTTTTGAACAGACCTCGTATATATATATATATATATATATATATATATATATATATATAATTTTTGAATTACTTCTCATTTTCAAAAAACAGCAAAATATAGCAAAATTACATCGATAGATAAACCGTCAAAAAGAATTGTCAGTAAATTTATTCAAATTTAATGGGCTCACTTTCAAATTAATAATTCAATTAAAACATGACAAGACATATTTGTATTTTAAGCTTGAAAGTATTATAAGAGTATAAGATAATATGACATGCAAATATAAAAAAAGAGTGCGCGTAAGGTTCACACGCCATTGACTTATGGTATTTTTTTTTTACTTTTTCGCTGGCGATCTAATCTCATTCTTTAAACAGCTGTAATATCTGTTTTGCCCAAAAATATTTTCCATGTCAATAACTTCAAAGATTTATAGAAACTACGAATAATATAGAAATTATTTCAATAAACTTATGTTTCATACACGGCGCAAATGCTGCTGTTTTATTATTTTCATTTTAATTATTTACGGGGGACAGGGTTAAATATTCTTCTGATTCAGGCATTTTTCATTAAATCAAGATTTGTACTACGATGTAATTTTAAAATGTTTATTTATCTATGCCGATTTCCTTGTTGATATCAGTACGCATACAACGTTGACGCCGGTACGCATACAACGACATATCTCTATTCACATACGCGACGACTAATCACAATCGACCCGTATAGAAATGATATCATCGAGAGCGAATGACGAATCATTGGCTCGACTCTTATCTTATCTTATCTGCCGCAACGCACTTCCGTTGCATTTGTACGGATGTACACCCTAGTCGCGCCCAAACTTTAATAATTAATATAAGTAGCAATAATTAGTATAAGTAGGTTGACCAATGTTTAGTCATGTTTTTCCTTAAATTATTGAATTGAATGTAAGCTCATCAAACCGTATTAAATTTGACTCACAAAATGAAGTTAAATAAGTTTCCAGAAATTGATTCAATCTATCACGATAAAACTCATCAGTATTACAGAAATTTTAATAATAAATTCATCACGTAGAGATAAGGTTGCTGTCTATAAAAAAGCCACGACGCCATAATAGTTCATAAAACTCGTTAAGTTCTGATTTCCGTTAAATATATAAAAAATATTGCGATATTAGTAGAATATTGAAAAGAACTAGTTTTCATAAATAAACCCAGGGCCGGATTTAGAAATTTGGCGCCCTGGGGCACTGACAAAAATGCCGCCCCATTCCTGAAATTTTACGAACTTTCGAACTTTTTTTAAAGCAATTGCGCTGCTTCAGCTGCGTAGGGACAAAATATAGAAGCGCGTAAGCGCCTCGTCGCAGTCCAACGGATAAACAATGTTACAGAACGCATATAAATGTATACTTATTATTATAATATCTTTAAAACATCTAATAATAGATAATTATATGTGCATATGTCTTATGTCCGCCAAATGTTTCTTTTTCAAGTTTTTTATTGGATCATCGAAACCGCTAAACCTGCCCCCAACAAATTAAAGCAGTTATTTATTCTGTAATTTTTTTTGAATGATATTGGACGCTTTTTTTCTCAAAAACTGAATTATCATTTTTGGAATTTGGAATAACTAATCAGCACGTCTCCTTATCAATAGGAATTGAATCATTTAAATCGTTTTGGCACAGACAATTACAAAAAATGGTAATTGAGTTTCGATAATTCTTCTCTGAAACAGCTACGCAGCGCGACTGCTTTGCAAAAAGTTCATCAATTTTCAATTTTTGAAAAATTTCAATTTACAAAAAATGTGCTTTAAAAGTCTTTTTTCTCATTTTTTAAAAAAATTGAAAGCTCTTTAAAAAATGAAATTTTCAGTACGGGATGTTTCAGTAATTTGTCTTAAGGCACAACGCCATGAGTCACTTGTTTAAATTTTTTTTCGACGCTATAAGCTTGGAAGTGCACAAATTCATCATTTTAAGAGGGCTCGAGAACTGAAGAACATATTATTCTTAACCTTTCACTCTTTCAGCTTGTTTACGGATTTTTATATTAGCCAAATTGCCAAATTTGATAACTTATTAACCAATTTGATAATTTACGTTCGGAGAGGGAGGCAAGGCAAATTAATAAATTTTAGTTATCGGTTATTTCAACCCAAATTTTGCATTGCAATTGTATTATGTTTTGTTAATTATATTTCTTGAAATAAAAAATGTTGTTAAAAAAAAGTTGATTATATTGTATAGAATTTTTTTTTTACTATCCAAATTTTGGCGCCTCCTAAAATTTGCCGCCCTGGGCAGTAGCCCCGATTGCCCCTACTGTAAATCCAGCACTGAATAAACCAAATTGTGAATTGTAAAGTATTAATTCAATTGCATCGCTGTACGTGTCTTCCATTAAATTTAATAATTAATATTGCATTACCAATCCGAGATAAATCTAATCGTTATCGTAGCAAATAGAATTCGTCGTATTTACATATGTGTAATAATAAAACGCATTAACTCGTAACACCATATTACGTTAATTCATTCAGTCAAGATCAGCTAGTGTGTAATATAAAAGCAAACAACGGCCGCGAGCAAGACGCACGCTATTTAATCGCTTCGGTTAATTCCACTTTAATTGCTTCGCATGTAAGAAATATTATTCTTTAATGCCAAATTATTCTGGTATTAAGCCGCATTCATACCGAAAGCATATGCATTGCGGAAATAATTTACATTGCCTAGATTATGCTTAAGAAAAAGTATCATATTAATCTTCTTATGGAAAAACTAGATTTTAAAGCGTTCAAGTGATGAAGCTTTGACAAAAATTAACAAGATTTGTAAAATTTAATTTCTGTGAAATTATTGGTTTTTACAAAATGTAGCTAGCGTGAATTAATTCTCAAATACTTTGCATAATTAAATATGTTACAGAACAAAATTTATTAACCCTGATTCCTATCTCATTCGAAAAGAGCAGTGAAATATTAAAATTTCAACGATAGATAAACAGCAAAAAAAAAACTCTCACATTTGTTGTAATACTGATGAGTTTCATCGTGATAGATTAATTAAATCAATTTCTGAAAATTTATTTAGCTACATTTCCAAAAGTAGTAATTACAACCAAAATGTGAGCTCACTGCATTTAATTAACACACTAAAATTTTTCAATAATAATTATATTAACGCATACCTAACTACCCTTGTATCACAGATATATGTTCGATTTCTTTCGAACACTCATATATATTTTATATATTTATATACTTTTTTAATTATTAAACAAATAAAAATATCTGTTTTTAGCTTAATGACTAACCAATTCCAATCATTAGCTTGATGACTAACCAAATCAAACACTCAACACACATCAAAATTCGCCAAAAAGCTATTTTTTGAAAATTCATAAGTAGGTTCCTTGAAGAATTGGGGCAGTTTTTGTTATTATTTTTTACTGTGGTCCAAGAAATGTTATTCACGGTGATGGTTCCAAAGTTTAAATAAACAAAATTAATAGAAGTTAACCACAATCACATAAATATGGTCATAATTTCACCAAAGTTCCAGGTTGCACTTAAAAACGAGATCATTTTATTTTTTTTTTTTTAGGATAACTAAGGTCAATCCTATCACCCCGTTTCAACTTGATGTCAAAATTTGGAACACCCTGCATATATATGCGACCTTTTTCCCACCAATTATTAATATATCATTAAAAACGTGAAATGTTTCAACTGAAAATTCGCTATAAATTATCTCAAATGCAATAAAGTATACGCCAGAAATAATAATCACTTGATATTATCTACATTCACTGATTGTGAGCGAAGTGCAGATATACCTATAAAAGTGTACTTATCTTAAATTTATATTAAGAGCTTGTAAAACTCAAGTAGCATATTAACACCTTTTATAGCGCTCTACTAGCTTCATTTGCTTTATGATGTTAAAATGATTATTACCCAACGAATTGATGCATAAAGAATCTTATTACGTGGCAAACCGTTTAAGTCATATTTTTAGCTGTAAAGGTAACAATGAATTATTAAATCTAGTTAAAAAAAGATAAAATATTCATTACATAGATTTTTGTGGAATAAATATATGATTGTTACATGAAGGAGGACGGCTAGGTTTTCAACACATTTCGTCATCACGAAGCAATATATTTTAGTAAACAATAATTTATGTAACAAAATAATTTTTTTTCTAGATCTGCAAATTACCATGAGCCTACTGGTACGTGTGACCTTTCTGATATGGATAGGATCACATTAGCTGGAACCAACGCTTTTCAAGAAATGGCAGGTAAGGTTTTCAAATGAAATTCAATTAATTAAAAAGTCTATTAGTACTTATTGTACAATGGCACTGCCTACAATTTAGATTAAAATTAGACAAAATGCAAGATCCATTAAAACTTGAGAATTAATCATTGAATAAATGGCTTAATCTGCACTGAAGAAGGAATATAATTCAGTATTTTTTTATAATATGAAATATTGTTGTAACAAAGCATTAGAACTGACATCACCATATGATTTTTCAAAGCTTTTATTCAATTCAAGGTAAATTAATTAGTGTTCCATTTTCCCACAGATATCGATTACTTGGAAAACAATTGTATCGAGGAGCCAACAAAACTATGTGAATTCAAACGTCTATCTGGGCGCATTTTGAAGACTGTAGACTCTGTATATCAAGATGTTTCCTCAGCTGAAGAGTGCCGTGATTTGTGCTTAAATTCGCCTTACAGGTATACTTTCGTTCAACTTCATATTAATAACGACTAAAGAAGTGAAATTAAGATATAAATCAATTAGCACTGATTAATTTGTTGCTATTACTACAAGAATAAAAATGTTTGAAGAAGATTGTTACTACAGCTTATTAACAAAATACTAATATATCAACGTTTCATATTTTTTTCATATTTTTTTCAAATTTTATTTATATGTATAGTCAACTACGATTATTTGCAACAACATGTAAATATACCATTACCAATAACTAAGAAAAAAAAAATTGCTGCATAAAATATATTCGTCAAATAGAGCTAGTATACTCTGCACGCCTTGCAGTCTACAATAATTCTTATTTATAATATTAATATGTGTTCGATTAAAATTGTTTCCGAAACAATTAAACTGTAAATGTAAGCTTCCTATATTCGAATATTTTTTATGAATAAATAAACTATTGTATGTAATAATTTATTAAAATACTGCATGGTATATCGAAAATTTTAATAAATTTAATATTTGATAATATTTCTAAATCATCGATGCTATCTAGTTCGCATATTGCCATATTATTTTAACATTTGTTCATATTGTTCAATAGTTTTCTGAAATATGACTATTACCCCTCGTAATACGCTGCAACTCCAACAATATTTACCCATTTTCTTAAAATGCTAACAAAAAATATTTCCAAACCCAATTGTTGAATTATAACTATTATAAATGATTAAAAATACAATCCAAATTGTTACTAATCTAATAACGAAAATATCATTCGTGTTATTAATTAAATTTTTCTACTTCAGATGCCACTCATACGACTACGGAGATACTGGTGAGATGGTCTGTCGTCTTAGCCATCACTCCAGAGCGACATTATCAGACATTCAGGTGAATATAGAGATATATTAGGACCAACTAATTATATAATAAGTTATTGCTTATATTGGATCATGTCTATAATGTTAATTGTATAGTTAACTTCAATATAATCTCTTAGGATCCCTATCTGAGCGTACCAGAAGCAGCAACTTACGAATTATCTTCCTGTTACAACGTGACTATCGAATGCCGATCCACAGACATGGTGGCTAAAATTCACACATCGAAATTATTTGACGGCAAAGTTTACGCTAAAGGCAGTCCTAATTCGTGCGTGGTCGATGTTAAACAATCTTTAGAATTCGAGCTAACGATGAAATACCAAGATTTAGAATGCAACGTACGACATAATGGAATGGGCAGGTAAATAAATTAGGATTTTGAGAATTATAAAATATGAATTCAAAAATTATGTTACATACATGTTATGTGAACATACTCAAGCAAATTAATTAATCAAGCTAATGTATTATTAATGTCCTCAGATACTTGAATGATGTAGTAATCCAACATCACGACACAATCGTCACGTCATCCGATTTAGGATTAGCGGTAACGTGTCAATATGACCTAACAAATAAAACCGTCGCAAATGATGTCGATTTAGGCGTTCACGGCGATACAGAACCTGCGCTATCTGAAGAAGTAATTGTAGACTCACCAAACGTTATCATGAAAGTAACGGCCAGAGATGGAAGCGACATGATGCAGAGCGCTGAAGTCGGAGATTCTCTTGCCTTACATTTTGAGATTTTAGACGAAAAGAGCCCATACGAAATATTCGTCCGAGAATTGATAGCAATGGACGGAGCAGACTCCGGAGAAATCACTTTGATTGATTCCGATGGTTGCCCTACAGATCAATTCATCATGGGACCGATTTATAAATCATTGATGTCGGAAAAGGTAATTCAAATATATGTTTTGAAATTGTAGTGTATACATTAGAACCGTACTACATCTCATGAATTGTAATTCTCCATTAGGTGTTGATATCGAATTTCGACGCTTTTAAATTTCCATCTTCGGAAGTTGTGCAATTCCGCGCCCTAGTTACGCCCTGTATGCCGACTTGCGCGCCCGTACAATGCGATACTGAAGAAGCCAGTACGGGAGACTCGAGATCTTTACTGTCTTATGGACGTCGTAGGAGAAGCATAAACGCTACTGGTATGAAATATTTACTATAAAAAATATTATAATCTCGGTTGAATAATGTGTTCATACAACATAGTCAATGAAAACAAATAAATAATCCGCGGTACTGAAAACAAATGTTGCTAAATTGCAACTTCAAATCAAGTCAAATTTTTCTGAAAATTTACAAATACAAATAATTAATGTTTTGATATGATAAGGGCGGTAAATATAAATGCAACATAAGTTATAATTTAATTCTATTCTTCCAACAGATTCCCGCATGAACAACAACAAACAACAACACGACGACATGCTGCTGATGCAGACTATTCACATCACCGACAAGTTCAATTTCGAGCGCCGGCAGCAACAAAACAATCAACATTCAACGTCGCGCGACAATGGCACCCAGAATATCAGTAGTGTTACAGATGACTTGTGCGTCAATGGCATGGGATTAATATTTGCTGGTGCAATATTCCTCGCGTTGCAAATGGCAATTGTCTCCATATGGACGGTCGTATGGCAATGCAAACGTAAGCAGAAATTAATCGACTCCGCCGATTGCGTGATCGTGCCCCCACAAAGTCGAATGTTCAGCCAGCACCGACCCCCAAACGGCAGCCTGAGTAGCGCGAGCTCAATTGGAAGCAACGTGCGCAAACTCTACACCGGCAACAATTTCAACCGGCAGCACTATTGAACCATGTCCCAGATTTGTGCAAGATCTCTCTACACGACGCGAACCCACATTGACAATCAAAAGACTTGACTCGATTCGTACAAAACCGAAAGAGTATTGTCCAAAAGCAAATGTTCGAAATAAAATATGTACTAGATAGACTACGTTTATAAGTTAGCAATTATATAAAATAACAATTAAATCCTTCGATAAGTTTAGCATATAAACATATAGTACTGATGATTATTTATGATATTGATGGAACAAATAGTGGCACAGTTTTGAGGAATGTATGTTTTGAGATGATTTACTTTTTGAATGTTCAGGCTTTTGTTAATACAGCAGCTTTTGGTGCCGGGATAATGCTTTACAAAAAAAACATAACAAGACGCGTGATACGTATTGGTATCTCGATATCGATCAAACTAGACAAAATCTAACTCGATTCTTAGAAGTAACTATTTGTAAGTCATACAGATAACTAAGTGCAATTTAAATCAGGAATAAGGACGACCACTAAATTATTATAAAAACTTTCGTAAAGATAAAATAAATATAGCTAATCAACTAACACTTTAAATTCTGCAAGAATATAAGATGTTTGAAATTGATTTATGTAAATAGTAAAATATTACGATCATAGCAATTTCAAATAATATTTATGTTCGTATTAATAGAAATGCTTGTCCTTGTTCCTAGAATATAGATAAAATATTTTTATACTTTTGGGTTAAGTCTTGAACAAGCAATTAACTAGACAAAATCATATTATTAACTATATTCATAATTCATTATATAACTTGTCATCTATTTTACATTTTTAGCAATATGTAATTTTAAGATAAATATAATTTCATATCGTATATTACATATTACAATATTAAAAAATAACCCAAAGCATTTTTATTTGTAATTATCCTGAATTTCCTCGTAGGCAAAAAATAAAATAAAACAAGAATATACAAGAAGAAAAAATAATTACAAACAAAGAGTACTCACTCGTAACCGCTGATCAGACACAGTCCAAACACGGCTAGCGAAGTCATTAGACGCTCCGAGAATTAAGGTGCCAGTACTATCAAAATCCACTGACATCACACCTGCATTACTTCCTACTAAAGTCCCTCTGCTTTCAAAAGAACCTGACAAAACCATTACTTTTTTATAACAATAATAACACTCGTAACGAAATTAAAAATTTGATGCAGTTTTATATCATGCACGGGCCAGTCTTCGACACCAAATTTTGCCAATGCGACCTCCACTTTTTGTTAAATCAGTTATAATATCTATAATTTTTAATCAGTAAAGTAGAAACTGAAAAAATTGTAATAAACAGAATTAATTAGATAGAATAAAAAATATAACTATCAAGTATAGTAATAAATTACATATACACATATTATATATAATTATTATAATGTAAAAAAGAATACAGTCCAACTAAATAAAGAAACAACCATCCAAGAATTTATAAAAACATAAAAAGCCCAAATATGCATGCCACAAATAAAAAATTAAATTGCACACAAAAAAAAATTAAAATTTAAAACATGCAAACCTTTAAACAAATAAAAATTAAAATTAAAACATGCAAACCTTTAGTTATGCTCCACAATTTAACTTTACGATCAGCTCCACCAGTTGCAACTATTCTTTCAACAGGATTCCATCGTACAGCACTCACCTCACTATCATGAGCATCCTGTAATTGATTTGAATATTTAAACATTTCATTTAATGCAACAGAAATAAATATTTAGAGCTTGAAAATATTGCATGTAACAATTATTACAAGATATAGTTATACGTTAAAAATAAAAAAACAAAATGATTGAAAAAAATTTTTATTATTGATATCTAGTTTACAAAAATATATCATTACAAAATAATATAATGATCAAATACGAACTAGAAACCATAATCTACTGTATTTTTAATTTATAGCCATATTATTAAATATAAACAGTTTGATTATATAAACCAATCAGTATAAACTAACAAAACGGTCCAACAAAAAATAACAATCAGTCAGTTTAAAACTCCCATATATTATACTGTACTAATATTAAAACTTCAATAAAATATAGTATACTTTCCATTAAATTAAATAAATCTAAATTAAATTAAATCCCCTTATTTAATTTCTTAAAATAAATTTAATGGTATACTTTTCATAGAACTATTCCAAAATAATTCTAAATTTCATGTACAAAACGAATTTATAATATAAAATCTAATTTAAACTGACTACTTATAGACATAAAACGAACATAATAGATAATTAGTTGCAAATTTAAAAAAATAAGCTATAACGATTGGAACAGTGCCCAATTAAAACATGGTATATATTCTACCATGATTATAGTTTGTATAAAACCAATTATTACAAGCAATAATATATTACAAAATGCAATTAACTAAATATGTATTGTCATTTTTAATATTACTGAATACTCACAAATTTGCAAGAAACTTTAGAGGGAAGTGCACCACAGTAAGTTGCATTTACTAAATCTCTACTATTAGCCCTATCTGGACTAATTCCAGCTCTATTTTCTTTAGCTGCATCTTCTAATTCACGACACATTCGATCATTCCTCTTCCTGAAATTAAATAGAGGCATTCTGAAAAAACATGAAGACAATATGAACACAAATTTCTACACAAATATTGCATACAGAAGAATAGAGTGATATAGTTAACCTTTATCATTAGTGTAATACAGACATTGTTAAAACATTACAATCAACTAATAGAAAACTAAATACGTTAACATAAAATACATAATCATGCTATCTACAGTACACAAATTAATTCAACAAAGCTACTACACATAGATACAAAAATATAAACAAAAAAAATGTGAGAAGTGAGATAAAGGTTAAGCACATTTATGTTTTCTACGTAACTTACCTTAGAAAGGATTCATTATCTTCATTCATTTTGTCAGCGTCTTTCATTTTATATTTCATTAACCTTTCTAACAAAATTCTATTTTCATCCTGTAACATAATAAATTATTTAATCAGAGCATTAATGAAGCAGACAAAATCATAAAATAATTTACAAATGTAATATAATATTACAATGCAAAATTATGCTATCAACAAGAAATATTCTGGTGTAGGGGCATGAATTTGTTTTGCAATTTTTGAAAGACTGTTAAAAAAAAGAAAATTTTTTCACTATATTTTTTTGCAATTTATTAATTTATGTTTTGAGAATAAAAAATGAAGATAAAAATTTAAAATATATATAAAGTTTTAATTCCAAAAGGTGATGAAGTGGGTGATATCAAAAAAATGGCACCTGACCATGCCCATGATTTTATCCCTCCTAATTATCTGAAGAAACAAATGTAAATATATTTATTAATCTAGAATAGTGTCACTATCGTATGAACCACAAACAATTAAACTTTTTTTTTCACTAAATAGCTACCGTCTGAAAGTTAAAAAATTGCTTTTTTGATATTCTCGATTTTTTTTCAAGTGAATCGGTCCAGTAGAAATTGAGAAATCGTGGCCATCATATAAAAAAAACGATTAAAAAAAAAACGCATTTAAAGTTTCGCAGAGAAAGGAAATATGGGAGGATTATCAAGCTCCAAAAATAAATTAAATTTTGAAAAATCCTCTTAAACACATATTCTTAAATACTTATACTTTAAAAATATGAAAAAAGTAAAAACAGTTTTTTAAAATTCTAGACCAAAACACCCCTTTAAGTCAACATTATATCTCATAAATTGAATCAGTGAAATTTCAAAATGTGTGTAAAATTATTCATGGTATTAACTTGAGATTTTCGTAATTTCTCTTCCAAAGATGCAAATGCTAATTGCAGGGCAGTATGTTCATCTCTCAACATTGTATTAAGTACTTCTAATTCTTTTTTTCCATTTACTAGCATTTGAACTTCCGCCTGCAAGCTAGTATTTTTGATTCCAATTTCGGTAAGACTGAAAGAAAAAGCATGTGTATATGTAATGAAAAAATTATATATATATATAAATATATATATATATATATATATATATATATATCATTGAAATAATTACAATTTGTATATTCCAACATTAAAAACAAAACACCATTAACAAAAGCAAAATATGTAGTAGACAAAATGAATTGTTAAGATTGGGATTCTTCATACATTGGCCAGACATGTTAATATTTCGAGAAGAAACTTACACAGCATGAATTGTAATAAGGTAAATTAAAAAAAACAATTATATATAATGCTTATATCAATAACAAAAAGATTCATTTTGATAATCCGAAAATATTGTTTCACAAAAAGGACTTGTAGAATCTATGTTAATAGTTCATACCAACAACAGTGTAAATTTAATAACTGATACAATTATTTCTCACTTTTATTTAATTTATTACTTTTCACATTTGTTGATATTATGGTGCCTTTTCGTCCAGTTGTTTACATTATAATCGTATCAATTCCTTGCCATTTACTACTTTACATACTTACATAACAGTTTTATACATATTTTTTTGCTCTTATATTTTATTTTGATGATGAGAGAAGAAACGTCTTGAAACTTTTATAATTCAGTTATTTCACTTCATGTATAAAGTGTAAGTGTAGTTTATAATTTAACGTTTATATGCATATATGAACTTAATCGTATTATTAATATACACCTATCCCCCGTTTAGCACGGGAGATATGTTCCAGCAAAAAACCTTGTAACTCAAAAAATTCACTTTTATATGGAAAAACCGTGCTAAACGAGAATCACTATAAAAAAGCCCTTTTTGTCAGTTTTTAATATGATGAATAACTAATCCATTGAACAGAAAATAAATATTAATATATTAAATATCAAACATATTTAATAAATTATAAGAAAATCAAACTATTTCTATAAAACTTTAATAAATATTGTATTTTCATTATAGACTAAAATTAAAATGGTTTGTACATATATAGCCTTTCTTTTACTCTCTAGTTTATTTATTTTCCTCTTTTACTATTGTCAAATTATTTTCTTTTTTTTATAAATTAAAGATTTTGTAAAAAATGATTCTGTAACTTGTTCATCTTGAATAAATTTATGCTATCTATTATATACAAATATTAATTAGTATTTGTTAAGAAAGTTTAAGGACAATGATGATCTTTGTTTTGATATTTCAAGCAAACTAGCTTATACACACATAACATTCAGTTTTGATTATAAAACGGGAAGTTTCCATCTTAATCTATAGATTTCAATCATAGACATGGACTACTAAAAACTAGTAACTGTAACATATGTTTTGTAGTGTTGTATGTTGACAGTACAACAATAAAAATGTTATTGTAGATATAAGATGTACAACCATCTTAACATTACGCCACTGGATGCTAGAAGAAAATACCTCACCTTCTGCTATGGAGTAAATATTGTGAAAGGTGCTTTAGATGTGCCTTTGTATGATAAATTTGAACGCTTCAAATTTATCATACCTAACGGTAGGCTACGTTACAATAGAACTTTGGAAATACCCACAGTTAAAACCAAATTTGTTTCACGCGTACCCATGTTCAGAATATCAAAAATAATAAATAAATTTGCTTCTGAGATTGATATCTTTAGTCTGACGGTGACAAATATAAAAAATCAAGCCAGAAAAATTATCCTTAAAAAAAAGACTGTCTTAAGTAGTGATTTATAGTTTATTAAATGTTTAATTTTATTAATTTTTATTTAATGTTATATATTTGTAGTTTATATATATTAAGTGTTATGTATATATATACAAATCTATCTATAAACTCTTAATACTCAAATTTTCTCATATTATCTTTAATGTACACTTTAAAATGTAATTATATTGTATTATTGCCTTGGGCGTTGAATAAATAAATAAATAAGCAAATTATAGTTTAGTGTTTATAATTTCGTGTAAATGCAAAATTATTAAATTTGTAAAAGCAATTATTAAACGTGTAAAATGAATATCTTGTGAGGCAGGATAAGGTGTAATCTGTTAGCAAGCAATTAGTTTCTCATAGACTATTATAAGAAGTTTGTTGAAAGCTTCATACTACATATATAAGTGCAAAATATCAAATACACCTAAGTCTGTTTTTACACGGTCTTTTTGTACACGGTTTTGATATAACACGGTTTGAAAATTGAATATTTTTAATTTTTTTACACGATTTTATTCCATTTAGCACGATTTGAAATTTTATGTACTTAAATTTTTTTTGTCAAATTTAATTTTTGCGAAGTATGTTCATATCACAAAAAAGTACTTATGAAAGAAAAAAGTCTGAAACCATCTATAGTATCGTTAGTTTGCGAATACTAGCTTAAAGATTTAAGTGAATTCCCCTTTAGCGCGTACAAACAATTTTTACTGGTATTTACTTATTCTACTTTATTTTATTTTTTACCTTAAAAATTGAATAACCTATTCTTTTCGTTCACAATATAGTTTTATAATTCCTGAACTTGCCATACATTTAATTTATATTACTTTTAAGATTAGAGTGCATATCTTTTTTATCATTAATCACTATGCATGTGAAAATAAGCATTATATATTTGATTTAATAAAATAAACATGAATTCTTGTTCTTAAAAATTCATGTTTTTCATTATTTGTAATAGATTTTAGAGATTAGGAACAAATCACCCATTTTTGTATAAGATCAATGTCTTTTTTTACACGTTTTTTTTTTTACACGGCTTCTTCTGGAACCAATCTACCGTGTAAAAACAGACTTAGGTGTATATACAAATCTATCTAAAAACTCTTAATACTCAAATTTTCTCATATTATCTTTAATGTACACTTTAAAATGTAATTATATTGAATTATTGCCTTGGGCGTTGAATAAATAAATAAGCAAATTATAGTTTAGTGTTTATAATTTCGTGTAAATGCAAGATTATTAAATTTGTAAAAGCAATTATTAAACGTGTAAGCAATCAACCAAAGGTCTGTTAGCAACCAATTAGTTTCTCATAGACTATTATAAGAAGTTTGTTTAAAGCTTCATACTACATATATAAGTGCAAAATATTAAATATTTCAATTAAATAATGATTTGTAAAAAGTCAAAACAAACCTTTGTTCTTTACTGGTTAGTTTTTTTGTCAATTCTTGTAGCTGAGCATTTAAATCAATAATTTGTTGTGCATTTTCACCTTTTCTTCTATGCAATTCTGTTAATTCTTCCTGTTGGCTCATACATTTTTGTTCTAAAACTGATATTCGAGAAGAAGTATCATTACTATGGCTTCCTGGTATTCCAGAACCGGAGCGTAATTTTTCATTTTCAATGGTCAATTGCAAATTCTCTGTCCTTAGGGTGGTTACATTATCAAATAACCTGTTGTCTAAAAGAAAAAAATGGTGCAAATTAAAAACATTGTTAATATGGTTTTTTTAGGTTAACTTACGCAGAAGGATTAATTCCTGGAAATCTTTAGTCTCACGACCATCCCTTTCTCTTAAATCTTTTAAAATATTTTCACGCCAATTTGTTTGATCAGCTGACATTGTTAATAAGTTAATAAAAAGCAGTCTTACAACTAATGAATAAAATTAGGCATAAAAGCGCGAATAACAAATAATAATAATAGATCATGAAATTTGTGTTAAATGTACTGTAAAATATAGCATTATTTTTTTTCTATTGGTAACTCGTCATTCTTTTTGAATATTATTTGAAAAAAAACACAAAATAATTATTTATTTCAGTCATTTCGTTTGACACTTGAACATATTGGACACACAGAAAGTTGAATGCATACACAGCCATGCATATGTGATTTGCACAATAGATTTTATTACATCATTTTATTACAGTTGAAGGAAATTACATTCAAATTAAATTTTAATCTCATCCGAACCAGCAAAGGTAACGTTTAAATTAATAATTATTAACATTACTTCAATATTAAGCGTTTTTTTTTATAATGTTTTGATGCATGTTTTGCGTTGTACTTTCGGTACAAGGTTATATTTTCTATCTACCATCGAGTACATAATTAAATTGTGGTTTTTGTATTTAGATCAACACATTATAATGGCATCAAAGGATTCAAAAGGTAAATGGTGCTGTGGTAAGCTCTCTCTGAAACCGTTGACAAAAGAAAACTTAGTCAAGTTCTACCTCCCTGCACAGGGCTTTGTTACTTACACTGGGCTGTCAGTGAGTGTAATCAGTCCAGGATTTTATACAGAGTAAGTATAAAATATACAGTAGAATCCGCTTAGTATGACATCGAAGGGACGCCGAAATCTCGTCATACTAACCGGTCGTCATTAAAAGCGTACTGAAAGAAAATTATACTGTCTAAACCCAATGAACAACACATAACATACATAAAAAAAACATCTATCGAACATACATGCATACGTACATAATTCCTAATTATATAAATATTATATTTATTATTTTTTAAACATTTGGTATCTGACCCATTTACCTCACATACGGGCTAAAGTGGAACAACCAGGGGGCGAACAGATGCAATTTCTTCTATTAAATTTTAAAGGCATTTTACGCTATATTATTGAACCAACGCAAAATATTAATTTTGTGGGTACATTTGTTAAAAAGACAACACAGTACATTACATTGATCTGCTATCAGTCAGAAATATTTATCAGAAGAGCCGGAATAACAATTTATTCAATTATTCTCTTGTAAAATTGCTTTTTTTAAAACTTTACTATTTTATTACTTACACCTTTGCCAAAGTAAAGGTTCAGCTGGTCCTTTTTATCGCAGTCATGTGCTGCTTATCTTCTGATAGCAAAGTCATAAGAATAAAGATGATGGCTGGTTATGAATTTATACATTTTTCGCCCTCTACTATCAAATATAATTGTTAAAAAAAATCTAATTTTATTTGTTTATGAGATATCCGTGGTGGGCCATTAATAATTAGTCTACCCTACCCATAAACATACAAATGTGATTTTTTAATGTAAGTAATCAGTAATTTTTGATTGATTTCTTTACATAATTTTATTGTAAAAACAGTCCCTGGTGCTATTGTGCACAAAAGACATAGCAATTGCTTTCGTAAACTTGGCCACATCATGTAAAATCTTGTCGGTCATTATAATTGGATATATTTTTTTGCAAAAATGGGTCATTATAAGCGACATGTCAATGTAAGCGATGTCAATATATCCGACTATACAGCTGTTTTTTTAAGGAATTTTATATGGAAACCAAATTCCTAGTGCGATTACGTCATATTAAGGGGTTGTCAATATATCCGCCGTCATACTAATCGGATTCTACTGTACAATTTACTTAGACTATTAAGTTATTTATTTATTGATGGTTCACTTATTGATTATTCACTTGAATTTAGTGTTTTGCCGAAGAAGGATATGACAAATCTCTTGCTTTTGGCGTCTGTTGTCGGTTCTGGAGCATATTTATATAGTAGAAATCATATGGAAAAACTACCACAAGATAAGAGAGTTCTTTACAGGTAAATAGACATGTTTTAAATGTAACATTCGAAATGTAGATACAGGTAACCCCCGCATAACACGGATTCACTCTCCATCCCCCTCATAATACAGTACTTTTGGATATGCATAACACCGTTTAAGAATTGAGGAAGGTTTTAATAAAATAAATATAGCAAAACCTATGAAAATCAAACTTCATTTAATCTAAAATCAGTAAATTTGCCTTACAATTTCTCAATAATACGTGATGAAACAAGTGCAAAAGATAACTTGGATTGGTTGGTTGCCTAATGAAACATTTTTGTCAAAGCAAGTAATCGCAAATATAATTTTTTTTGCACAAAATAATGCACAGACCTGGAAGTAGTATAAAATACTGCTCAGAGGATTAGGATATCTTGCAAAAAAAAGATCATGTTGGATGTTACTTATTAATTATGATGAAAAAAATCTTATAATTCAAGTAATATATATTACTTCTTAAAAAAATGAATTAATGTGATAATATTTATTATAAAATCATGATACGTAGCATGTTTTTTTGAATTCTTAGAACGTAATTCCTTTTTTTGTACAAGTTCTTTGTCCCTTATAACACGGATTCGCATAACATGTCAGTTTTCTGGAACATAACTACCGTGTGGTAGGGGGTTTACCTGTAGATCATTTTTTTCGCGTTTTGTATTGGTTATTAAAGTCATTGTTTATGAGTTACTCCAATTAATATACAATATCACAAGGAATTAATTCATAATTTGTGGTAATAAATATAAGAATGTTATCTCAATTCGAGATTGAAAAAATCAGATCAAAATATTATCAACTGCGAAACATAAATAGCAACAATATCAAAATTGGTTACTGATTTTAAGAGGTAACACTACCGCCTAAGTAAAATGTGTTTCACTTTTTTTTATGGGTGGAAGGAAATGGAACAAAAACAAGTAATCATCTGAATAACAAATTAGATGATAATTTAAAAATGATGGCAACATATCCAGCGTGGAATTTGTAGTGTATTGCTTGAGCAACTTGAATTAATGAAAAATTTGTAGTAGTGTTACCCCTAAATAAATACATTACAGTTATCAACTTACTTTTTTCTTAGTGGTTTCGGTGCAGTCCTTTTCACATTTGGTTCTGTACTCTTGTGGGCAATTATAAGAGGTGCCTTACCCGACCAATCCAATGCGGCTGCTGGAGTGACATTGGGAATTGCTTCTAGTCTGGGCCTAACAAAACTTGGAATGAGCTATTTGGAAGAGATTGATAAGTCTGTAGTCAAGAAGTGAAGCGAAATCTAAAATTGCTAGTAGTTCTTTTTAATTTTACATTTTGATAAAGTATTTGTAGTTATTATTGATAATCTTGATGCCTTGATGTAAGCTTGTATGTTATTATTTATAATTTGTGAAAAATTTATTGTTATTTGAAGACACTGGAAATCTGAACTAAATAAAACAGGTATAATTTGCCTTGTACAATTTAATTGACCCTAGTTCATTTATACACAAATTTGCATATAACGTAAGACAATTTTCAATAAATACTGATATTTGAGATAAATAAGGAATTATCTCTACAACTTGAAATATAAAAACAATAATTATTTTTACACACATTTCTATAAAATGGAAAGTTGCATGTCATTAACTGGTATGTGCTAAGTTGATGAAAAAAATTATATTAGCACAGCTTTGCACATTTTGTTTCCATTGCACTCACATTTAACTTTTAATGTGTTACATTTTTTCTATACCCCATGTTCTGTTGCATTTCTTCTATTCGTTTAACATTGATTTTAAATATATTCAGCTAAAATTATTAGCTTGGATGATCAGACAAATTTGCTTGTGGAATAAAAACATGCAAATTTCTCATTAGTACACTTTACTTAAAGGTAAAGTTTGCACATAAATATTTAACATTTTATACTGTATTACACTATTTTTTTAAAAAAAATTAAACTAAAAATGTTTGATTTGTTGTTGTGTGATAGAAGGTTAAATACGATCCGTAAGAAATAATTAAATAATAGAAATGACAAAACAATTTGTAACAACATATAGCTTGAGGTTTGTTTATATGTTCAACTATGTTACATTGAATATGTAGGTTTATATGGGCATGATTCATGCTTATTCATTATTAGAAAAGTATTGTCATCATCAGTTTGTAAAGGCGCTTTATACTTATCTACAAAATTAGAATAATCAAAAAAGATTTTAACATAATTTTGCAATATGTATTTGACATGTAGGCCAAATCAAAACAGATAATTTTGTTAACTTTATGGCAAAATCTAGCACTGCCAAAATACTATTTTATTTAACAAATTTGTTAATAATTATTAAAATGTATTCATACACGCATACAACTTGCAAACTTTTTCTTATGCACATACATTCTACACATATAATACTTATAATACATGTGTCTTTTACACATATTACTGTATGTGCGCTCTCACTTTAATAAAATAAATTTAATAATATGTATGAAAAAATAATGAGTTTATCAGTAAAAAAATAAACCTATTTAGTTTTGAAATCTTTAGCAATGCTATTTAAAGTGTTATTCCATTATAACTAAAATAACATCTTAAAATATTTTTGGTTGTTTGGGAATATTCATATAGTATAACAAAATATACAGACGTCTTTGTTCAACAGCTTAATAAAAATATACTATGATATATTTTCATAAAAAACAACAAGATATCCAACTAGCCCAGCTTTGTGTGTTGTATTTAGCCCAAAACTAGCTAATAAAATTTTGAACAAAATGCAAGGGTATAAAAATAATTACAATACTATTAGATGCCTCTCGTATTAACTATGTAGCATGAATTACATTCCTGTCTCTGCTACCAATTCACTATCTCTTTCTCCAACTAAATAGAGAAATTGGAAACCAATTGCCAATAGTGAGATTCCAAGCAAATCGCCAAGTGATGTCAAGTACGGGATTGCAGAATTATCAGGGTCAATTTTATGTTTCCACATCCAGTGTATTAGAATATAGGCAACATATAATAAAGCTGCAACCTATAACGGATAATTATGCATCAAAATATAGAAATAATAAAATCAGTAAATAATAAGAAAAAAGAAATAATGCCCACAACTTGCATTTCAGAACGATAATAGCATTTCCTCAAAATGTAACACAAATTTTTATTATAATAGTTAGAAATAATTGCAGGAGTCTAATTTTAAATATATTATTAAATATTAAGCATTATGAAATATACTATATGAATGTTTGCAACTAATGATTATCATTTAACATTATATAAGCATATCTACTTAAAATCAAAGTATCTATAATGTAATTAAATTAATAGTTATTAAAAATACTTCCACACTTAATAACAAAGTGAATTAATGAATAAGTACTATACTGAAACACTTACTTGAAGCAGGGCTGCGCATAAATAAACAAAAACAAACAAGGGTGTCAGGGAGGAATGTCCAGACTTCATGTAGTTTATTGTATATATGAAAATCAGGTGGCCGGGAATAACCATTGACATCAAAACTCTAGTTGTTCTAGCATGCATCCCTGTAAAATATGAATTGATAATTAAATGATAATTTACAATATTAGTTATTAAAATATAATTTAAAAAAATCTTTGAATAATTGTTGTATGAAAAGAAATCATTAATAATTTTAAATATGCATACCACTTCCACAAAAACTAGCAACAGGCGTAATAAACATAACGGCATCATCACCTCCAACAAGTGTTCCTAGTTCAGACTCTTTGTGCAGAGCAGTGGAAATACGAGAAGCCTGAAAATGTAGTACATATATTTATAAAAAGAAATATTTACGTACGAATATTAAATTGACATTCTTCAACCGGCAATTTATAATATATATATATATATATATATATATATATTATATACATATTATCAACATACTTTCTAAATATTGCACGTAAGTAGCATATACAAAAATAATTTTCTTTTCAGTAATTAAAAAAAATGTACACTAAAAGTGATTGTACCTGTACAGCAACTAAATTTCCTCCAACTCCATTAATAACTGGTTGAAAGACTGCAATCCCTTCAAAGCGAGATACCATAAAATCTAGAATAAGACCGCCTACAGAGCTAATCAGCATTGCGGTTAATACTGGTGTCCATCCATTATATAATACATCACGAGTGTGTTCGTTCTTCTTCGCAATCCAAACCCACAAAGGCGTAACAAGAATATAACTTGATATAATTAGAGGTGCTAGCCAATCTTGATTACCTATGAAAAATATAAATGTTTTAAAAGATTTAAAAGAAATAAATGCATGACAAACTTAAAGATGTGAATGGGGTATGTGATGTGGCTATTTTATCAGAACACGAGTACTATATTCTTCTGAAATAAAATTAAGAGAAGAAATTTCATCATAAACTGATAATCAAAAATTGTTTCAAAACTTTGTGTTCTCAAAGTGTTGGAATTTAACTAGATTTGTACAATAAAATTCAATTTTAATAGATAATCTTCCAAAAAATAATGATGTATGCAAATGCATTAATAATTTTTTTAATAAAACTTTAAATCAATCCTAGGAGATCTAGTTTTAAAATAGTCTGATATGGGTTTGAAACCTATTGTTCCGAGAAACTAATCAAATCTTTAACATTTTTGTAAGTTCAAGATGTAAATCAATATTGTTCATTGATCCGTTTTATCGTTTTCTATACCTATTGATTCGTATAATAACATTGAGATCCATGATAATAATGCCAGTGATGTTATATCCCCAAGACTTGCAGCAATCGGCGTGGCAACATTGTCCGGATTTATTTTACAGTGTCTGGAGAATACTATAACTCCTGCAGTGATTAAGCCTACATATAAGTGTAAAACATTAATATACATAATACATTAATCATATCTGTATTGTAGATTTAAAAGTTTACAAACCTAAAACAAAGCTCGCTAAAGATGCCGTGACGAGACTGCTAGCGCAAAGTAAATAAGCGTGATCTAATTCTACTGCGTTGCTTTTGATTCCACCCATGACAACGGCTACCACAGATCCCAAAAATCCTACGACAATGGCTTGGCACTGAAATAAATTAAAAACATTTACAATATTTGTTTATATATGATATCCAACTATTATAGAAGTTTATTGCCGTAAGAAAAGTAGTAATATTTAATGGAACAAATTAAATTCAAACTTCTGTACAAAGTCATGTTAAAACCAATTTGGACGTACGGAATACAGATTTGGGAAACGGCGCACAAATCCATCATCGCCATAATTCAAAGATTTCAAAACAAGATTTTGAAAGAAATTATAAACGCACCCAAGTATGTCTCAAATTAGTTGGATCATTCAGATTTGAAATGAACACAGTTAAAGAAGAAATTGAAAAATTCAGTCTGAGATACAAGGATAGAATACAGAACCACCCAAACATTATGGCCAAAAATTTAATAAAAAGCCATGGCTCGAATCGAACGGCTCAGAAGAAAACGGCCCCTTTTTGATAGCCTTTAGTAATCCTATAATATGTACAATTAATTACTCATAGGCTTATTTAAATTTTTTCACATCAGGACTACATCTATAAGCTAAACATATCCAACATCGAATCGGATAATCACTGGGTGACCTTTCGACCTTTTTTCCTTATTTAATAAACCATTAAAATTACTGAATTACTGAAAAAAAAATTAAAATTATTTTACCTGTATGAGTGTTAAATTTCCGACAATCATGCTCCACTGTTGTTTTGGAGTATCCATATTCCCAAGATTAGCTTGCGTGGAAAGTCGCGATGCTAGAGTCATCTCCAAGTTACCTTTCAGGCCGAGCAATGCAGGCACCAATATTACCAATTCCGTGATGTTTTCGAACACCGTCCAGTGCTAAATAGTTAAACAATATTTTAATATACATGGTTAATATACAAATAAAAAAAATTGAATAGGAAATAATTTTTTTTTTTTGGCCTCCGTTAAAAATTTATCCACATAAAAAATAAATATGTTTCATTTATAGAACACTATAAGTAATTATAAATAATTATAAGTTCTCAAATAAAAATATATGTATACAATAGTTTATCAATTATTGAAAAAAATCATTTAATTGAGCAACATACAGTAGAACTCCAATTATCCGAACTCCGACGATCCGAATCGCCGATTATCCGAATCACTTTCAGAAAAAAAATTGTCCAAAAAAGTCTAAGTGCGCTATTATTCTTCCACCCGCGAAGCCAGTGTAGGCACATTGTTTGTTTTGATTTGACGGAGATGTTTAAAAAACAATGATTTTTATTTCTAAACTTGTACATAAGTACATTTTATTTATATTTAAAACATGTGAAAATATCATGTTTCTTTCATTTAATTCAATAAAAAAAATAGTGCAATATCAAAACGTAACTTTTTTTCTCTCCAATGGCAATTTAAAAAAAAAACTCCGATTATCCGAATATTTGATTATCCGAATGGGTCCCGGTCCCCATTAATTCGGATAATTGGAGTTCTACTGTATTGATATATAGTTATTGATCTATCTTATCGCAGTTTAGTATCAATATAATTATCAGCTTAGCTTATAGAAATATTTTTATTTATAATTGCTAAATAAAGTTATTATAAAAAAATCATTTATTAAAATCGCCTAGTTTTTATGTTTTTGCTAAATAAGTAAATACATAACATTCACAATTTATAAAAAAAGATAAAAATTCAATTACCTGTACTATATCTAAAACGAGTCCTGCTCCAACCATTCCAAATCCAGCGATAAGGAATGGAATAAACACCTGGACGGCGATCGAAAAATATGTCTCATGTACATCTTCGTTCGAACCGCACATTTTTGTTTCAATGACTAGATCAGGTAGCTTGGTTAACTAGAGTATTAAAAACATTATTTGATGACAAATAAAATACTATTTAAAATGAAGTGATAAGCAATATAAAAATTGTTGATGGTGAATGGTTTTAATTTTTTTGATGTGATATTGTTTCTGAGAAAACAAAAAACGATCTGTACTGTTATATTAAAAATCAGAAAAAAATATTATCAATGTTGCGTTGGAAACGTAAATAATAAACAAAAGCGGGAACCGTCAATGACTATTTATTTATTTATTTTACAAGCCGTCGGTATAATAATATTATAATAAGGCTCAAGTCAATATTTTGCGGATTTAATATAATTTAATTAACTATTATCTATTTTATTACTTATTTATTTATTATTTATTTATTCTATAAACTTATTCATATTTAGTTAATTTTATTTATTTTATTTATTTATTATTTAATTTATTTACTTTAAACTTATTTATATTTAGTTAATTTTAATTATTTTTAAATATAACTGGTTTGTTGCAAGTATTTTTTAAAAATTTAATAAGTATTATAATAAGCTTTTAACTTTTACAATAGAATTATTTTATTTAACAAAATTTTAGGTTATTTTATGATATTTTAACTAAGAGTTTTATATTATTATTATTATTATTATTGTCATTAATTATTTTGTCAATATAAGTATTTTCTCTTACAATTTTTAGGTATTTTGATGAAAGAAATATTTGTTTCACAAATTTTCAAGTGTTTTTAAATTATAAGTTTTTAGTTAACTAATTAATAAGTATTTTAACGATAACAATCATATAAAAATAATAATTATAAAAAATATAATAATATTACCAATTATGTAGATAAATTTATAAATTTCTAGATACAATTAAAATTTATACTTTTCGTAAAATACCTGAGACTAATGATCATATTTTCTTTTAATTATATGCATGAAGTGACCACTAAAATGTTCATAATTATTTTTTAACAGTACGGCATATATTAACACTGCATTCTATGCCAAACAAATGAAGGCTGTCAAACATTTTTTGACATCGCCCAGAGACAATCATTTTCGCTTCTATAATAAACTTGCATGATGGTCTGAAGGTGCTATATAATAATAAATAAATAAATAAGCCTATTATTTCCTGCCTTTTTTTACAAGGGTTTGCTAAATAACATAAACGTGTATATACAGAACATGTTGTACGCTACATGCTATATAATAAAGACTATAAAAACCAGATCCACTAATTATGATCACAAATTAGAAAATCACCCCAATTCACACGTCGCTCGACTGCTCCTCAAACCAGAATTAAGAAAACTTAAAAAATTAATAAAATAAATACTATCTATAATTATATTTAATTAATGTCAACCAAAATAACTCATAGAATGTAACTAATGTTCTGATTGTTTTTAATAAAAGAAATAAAAGAAAAAATTGCAGAGCAGACGTACAAGGGTCCTTTTGCTTACCCGTCTTCGAATTTCAGCAGAATGCACAATTGACGAAACTGAGGCAATGCCTCTTGAAACGATCGACATTTTTATTTCGACAACCAAAAACTGACAAGATCGTTCTTCAAACGCAAGTACTTAAATACTGCAGTACAAATTCTTGCACAAGTGCGACGTAACCATAAATAACTAATACAATTCTACTAATAGACGTTGTTGGCAATATTATTATCAAACTCGTACACAAACACAAACATTTCGATCAGATTGCGCAATCGATTTACCTCAGTGTCCGCATTGTCGTTAGCAGCGTCAAGCATCAATGTGAGTTCAACTTCTTCAGATTGCTCCTGAGAGCTCCTGTTTGACGCTGGCGCGGAGCTGGTGTGTGATTCCCGCCTGAATCAGCCGCTTGGTCTCCGTGCGCATTCGGTGGAACTGCTGCTGGCACTTGCGTTGTCTGCTGCTTGTTATTCTCCGGCTCGACCATCTCCGGTGCTTTGATATTATTGTCTCTGAAAATTAAGTTACACTTTGATTATTATATTAATTAAATTTATGGAATGAGTATCTTACATAAAGTTACAAACTAGTGGTCATGGCATCGTGCCTTAAGGACAAATTGCTGGAATTTACCGTACCAAAATTAAAATTTTTAAAAACGATTCAAGTTTCTTTTAGAAATCTGAAAAAATCGATTTCTGAGATTTTAAAATTTTTGAAATAATTTGTCCTTTTTGAACAATTAGAATTTTTATACTTTGAAATATTTTACAAATTTTGAACTTTTTTTCAAAGCAATCGCGATACTTTAGCTGCTTAGAAACGAAATATA